GTGCGCGCTGCACGCCCCCGTGCTGGACGCCGCAGCCTCTGAGAAGCGCCCGCACGCGTGTCTGGCCGTCACGCAGACCGGCGCTACCCTGCTCGATGTCGCCGATTCCGTGCGATGTGCGGCTGCTCTCAAGGTCGATGACCCGCGCTTCACGCTCGCCGCCGCCGCGTTTGAGGTCGTCGCCGGCGACTGGATGGACGCTAGCTCGGTGTTCGTCGCGTCCTCGAAGTGTCTCGGTGTGTTTGACGTGCGCAGTGGAGAGCTTGCCGCGTCTCTCGTCGTCGGCAAGATCCTTGAAGTGCACCACCGTTCATCGTTCGCACTCTGTGTTCCGTCGCATCCGTCCAGAGTTTCGAGTGCGTGCTCGGATGGGGAGCACGTGCTTTATACGGGCTCGCAGGACGGCTGCATTCGCGCCTTCGATACGAGAACGAGAGCGATGTTGTGGCAAGTGCAGCACGCCCCGTTTCAGCACGCGTCTGCTTTGCGCTGTGCGAGTAAGGCATGCCTTATTAGCGGCGGCACGGATGGCGTCGTTCGGTGCTGGAGTGGGGCCGGGAAGCCACTGACGACGTTTCCGCACCATGACGACACTGTGACAAACATATCAGCGGGGTCGCACGCCTTTGCGACAGTCTCCTACGACGGGAGAGTCGCCATTAACAGACTCCCGGTTGCGGCATAGCTTCACTCTCACTGCCGAGAGTTGAACGTAGGCCATATTGAACAAAAGTTTGGAAGAGAACGTGACCCCCGGACCACAGGACGTGTTTATCGACCATAGGCTGACTAAATAACATTTACACTCCAGGAGCAAGTGGCTCTAGAAGACAACTTTTGCTAACATACTGTACTAGGCTTTTGAGTTAACATTTGCATACGCTGCTCTATTGGCGGCTGTGGGAGTGACGGACACATCAATAAAGTTGTGCTGGACTAGGTTGCCCTCTTGCCGATTGTCGTGCAAGCTCGATTCGTTGAGCTCGGTAGCCATCTTCACAAGATCCGGGCCGGAAGCTGTTTGCTTCCGAGTGGGTAATGTGGCAGCTTTGGGCACCGAGTCGGGGTGTGTCCTCCTGTACATGCGAGCCTCTTTGAGCGCCCTCGACTTTCGTTCATAAATAAAGACGCCGCCGATAGAGATGCCAATCCCCACTCCATTGACGAGGGAAAGACGTTCGTTGAAGTAGAAAATGGCAATCACGGCAATGCACACTCGCTTGAACGTATTGGCCACCGAGTAACTCAACGGTGAGATGAGGTGGAGGGTGTTGAAGGCCAGCTGCGACGACACAAAATTGACAAAGCCTGCCAGCGCGAGGCCGGCGGCAACACCCCAGGACGGCGCGAAAAACGAGTGGGCCGGTGCGTCGCTCGTAAAGATGTGGTACGCCAGCTGGGCCACACTACCCGGTGACATGAGGATGAGGGAAATGGCTGAGAGATATATCTGCAACGACACGGGGTCGATGCGTTCGCGGCCAAAGAGGATCTTGGAATAGATGTTCTGAGCGTTGTTGATGGCCGTGGAGGTGACAGCGGCGAGAAAGCCGAGCAAGGCGGTGACTAGCTCTGCGCTAGTAACAGAGGCGCTATGGATCTCGTCGATGCTGGTGAGTGCGACGCCGATGATGATGGGCAACAAGGCCCACACGACGGACATCTGCGGGCGGTGGCCGAAGAAAAACAGCTCGAGGCAGACGTTGAACAGCGGGCCGAGCGAACGAATGGTGTTGACAAGATTGACTGAGACGCGAGCAAGCGAGGCATACTTGAGGACCTCCTTGATGAGGAAGGCGGCGCTAAGCGGAACGACGGCGCGCAGCTGCTGCTTGCTCAGGACGGCGAGTTTGTGCATGCCGAGGCCCTTGGTGAAGAGCAGGCCGAACAAGACGGAGCTCGCAAACTGCCACAGCGTGAAGACGGCCTCGTTAATCTCAAAGACGTGCAAGACATGCTTGGCCAGGAAGAGGCTGGTGAGGGAGAAGATGAACCAGCCCGAGATGAAAGAGGCGACTTTTGCGCGGGCGAGCCACTCCGTGACGTTGACATGAGAGCGGGCGGCGGAAAGGCCGGCGAGGATGTCGAAGCGAGCGGCATGCTCCACGTGAGCGCTGCCGCCCATCCCCATGTGTGGGGTCGTAGGAGGCCGGAAGTGTGACGCCGGAGGGGGGGGGGGGGAAGGGCAAGTGGGGGCGAGAGAAACGGAAAGTCGGGCGGGGTGGGCAGCGGGGCAGGGTGCGGGACGTCGCGCTAGGGCGCCAGCATGAACGCTGGAAGAGGGGTCGGGAGTTCGGTGCGGCGCGAGGGGAGGGGGAGCTGGGGTGGCTGAGTTGGCGAGGAGAGGGGGTAGAGGTGTACGGAGGGGAAGGCCGTTGGGTAATACACGGAAGAGGAAGGTTGATTGACAGTTGGATGGGTCGGGGTATGTGTGCCTGACACCAGGGCGAATTTAGATGAGTCGTGCTTACATTCTTACAGAGGCGTTTTGCATCTAATCACACGTTTCCATTGGCCGGATCAATGCCAAGTGTCGGGCGCCTTGCGGCAACCTGCTCGTCCCAAACAATCTCCCAGCGCCTTCTCTCACTTACCCTCACGCCACCGAGCTTCACCTTGGAAACCAAAAACGGTAAGCATTCCATCGTCCTAACTAATACCCGAGCCTCAGTACGCAGACCCACTACCTTCCCCCGCCGCGCGTCGTTGCCGAGCTCCAAACTCTTCCAGTGCCACCTCCCAGTACTGCTGCATTGAACGCTCAGTTATATATCGGTCCGCGAATGCATTCTGATTCCGCACGATTTGCTGCGTGTACGCATCGTTTTCACGCGCCCATTGCACGTTGGTGATTAGGTCCGTCATCATCAGGTTGGTCGGGAGGAAATGCACCCACGGTCGCATCAAGGGCGTGAAAAACTCTTGTGTTTCTGCTTGGTGCACGATTATTACGCTGTTCATGTACAGCAAAGACCGCAGACGTTCCGCCCAATCTGTGCCGCCGTTGCAAAAAAACACCATGTTGAAAAAAACAAACGCTGTTAGAAACCGGCCATATGTTTTGCAACTGACCTTTTTTTTAAAGATGCAAACTTACCTTGATTGTTGCCAACATTGAGAATGTACTTGAACTTTTGAAAGTCTGCAAACTTGATCGACTCCCTCACTTGCGGCGCATCATCAAAGCATTTCGCCGGCCCGTCCTCCTTCTTCTTGAGCTGCGTGAATCCGACATCGAACAAATCCGGGGCCTGTTTCGCCCTCTCATACATAACACCTCGATTAACCTCGTTCCACTTTTGTGCCCTCTCACACCTGCCCCCATTCTCCTCGTTGCACGAGCCGAGTTTAAACTTTTGCATACTCAAACTGCCGCGGAAGAGGGCCTTTTCAAACTTTTCATTCCACGAATAGTTGGCGTGCTTGCTCACAATCGTGTTATCAATGTAGGAATTCCAGCCCTCAAACGGGGTGCCCCACTCGACATTCGTTCCCCTCGAGTTGCCCAGCGGCACGGGCGTGAGCATGTTCCAGCCTTTCCAGTGTCGCGCCGAGCCAAACGTGGCCACCTGCGGGCGATGTCCATCGCTCAGCATGACCATGAAAGTAGCGGCCGGCACGGCGGCGGCCTTCTCGCGCATGATCTTGCGGAGGACATACTTGACCGAGGGCGCCCTTGAGTGCTGGTTCTCCCGATACTTTTCCTGAAACGTGACATTTCCATTTTTGATCGTGACCAGCATGCATGTGCTCTGCACATTATTAATATCCGAGTAGTAATGCTGGCGGATCTTCCGTGCCGAGAACGTATGCGGGTCGCTATCATCCAGAAAGTTGTTGAGCACGACCTTCCAGTCCTGGCGAATAGTAGTGAGTGCCTCGGGCACACCGTGCAAGTCGAGGTTCCTCTTCTGCGTGGCGGTGGTTGCCTGGGCCTGGGCCTGGGCCTGGGCCTGGGCCTGGACCTGGACCTGGGCAGCGGCAGCGGTCGGGACGACGGAGGCGTGGGAGGCGAAGGAGAACAGGTGGGCGCGGCGGGGGTCTCTGCGGGAGGCGGCGGGGGCGACGTGTCGGCGCAGGACCGAGACGATGAGTGCGGCGCACGCGAACAGGGTGGTGAGCAGCGAGACGTGGGTGGTGCGGCGCGAGGCGTGGGGCTTTGCGCGCTTCGAGCTGCTCGACGCGCGGCTCTCCCTGCTCAGGTCGCGCACCATGGAGTCTGCGCTGCGCGTGGGCCACAGCATGGCGCGGGGGGGGCGGGCGTGGCGGCTGTTGGGGGCGTGGCGGCGGGGTTTTTGCGCGCGGGAATGGGCTCGCGCGGATGGTGGTCGGGTTTTTGGGTGCTTGTTTGCGGCTTGTTTTTCGAGACGGATGCGTGCGCTCCTGGGGGCGGTGAACGGATGCGGAAGGCGGAGGGGGAATGCGGATGAAATGCGGTTTAAATGTTTTCAATTGACAGGACGTTGCTTAACGGG